GCAGACAATGCATTGTTCCTACAATCAACATTATAGAAATTAGCAATAAGTATGAATATACTGTTTTATTAAAAAAAATGTAGTTTGTACTCTTGAATATGTATTTTAACTAACATGTAGGGTCCTCTGTGTCTGAATTTGTTTAAGGCCAAAATAATATATATCTTTCATTGATCATATTGAAATATAATCATGGTAGTATTTGGCAACAAACAGATACCGTTCATATACATAAAATCCTTGAATACAAACATGCACCATAACCCTTAAATATCAAAACAGATTTCAGTGATTTCCATTTCTTTTATTTTGAACATTGTAACATGATATCTAGTTTATGACGTAATTTTACAGTGCCTGTTACTCTTACAATTTCTTGAGAACATTCCTCATTGCTCTCTGTTATATATCTGACAAATACTTACATGTGTTGCTGTCAATATTCACAACATTGAGGCTACGGGCAACGTTGCATGAGACCTTCACATTTCGCGTACCGTATCGCCTCACCGTTGTACATACTGAAATGCATGCATATGATGTAGCCTGCTCGGCGATGCTACAACATAGATATAGGAACGTATACAAAATCTACTTAATTTTCATATTCATACATCAAGGGCAACACTTTCAGTACCGATTGCAAAACGTCAACAAAGCGACCTGGGATGAACGATCAGCTGATCTCAACGCATCGCTTCGAACGCCTATCTAGTGGATAACTATACAATATAATCAGTCGTGGTCATCCCTGATGTATCATTAAATCAAGGAACATTTATTTCCGGACATGGCAATAGATAAATCGTTGTTTAGACGAAAAGATATGCTGTCCACACACGAGCGTGTCCGTTGCCGACAAAGGTGAAGGTTATACTAGTTAACTGTCTATAGGCGTCATAGTAACATGTAGTGCTCGTATCGCGCATACCACATGCGACGTCAGTTTAAGGTTGGACCGTCCGGGTCAGCGCACCTAGCGGGTTAGTGAAGGGAAGATAAATTGAAAAAGATCGCCCATTGTCGCCTTTTACGACAAGCATAGTCGCCTTTTAGGGCAAGCATGGGTTGCTGAAGACCTATTCTACCCCGGAATCTTCACCGGTCATCTTTCTATTAATCCCTTAGGCAACGTCAGCTTGACAATAACATTCTAGCATCTCAGTGACTCTGCTTGTCGTAAGAGGCGACTAACGGGATCGGGTGGTCAGGCTCGCTGACTTGGTTGATGCATGTCATCGTATCCCAATTGCGTGGATCGATGCTCATGATGTCAATCACTGGATTGTCTGGTCCAGACTCGATTATTTCACAGACCGCTGTCATAAAGCTGGAATATTGCTGAGTGCGGCGTTAAACAAACAAATATTTTACGGACAAGTCAAATATTTTACTTGGTCGTATCTGTATGCATCGGAAGGAACGAAAGAAGACAAATATGCCTTGTGAATCATGAATTTATGCGCCTGAACATCACCAGTGTATACAATATGCGATTGATTCGGGCAGCTGTTGCGGACACAATGCCATAAATCATGCATCTTTATCAGCCAATGGCCGGTGCTGCTAAAGATGAGAGGAAAACGAGGCGTAAGTTTAAAACACTGATGTAACTCCCGACGAAGACATTCAATGTATACACAGCGATTGACTGCCATATCAAGAAGTCTCCACTCCTCGCTCAAGAAACAGTACGGTATTCAATTTCCTTTTCTTTTTCATATGTGTTAAAGCAGTATGCCATTGGCTACGATCCATCATATGTAACACAAGAACTTCAAATACATCTTTTCAATTGAAATTTTTCACAATAATATCATGAACTATGAAGCAAAGTCTTAGATAGTTTACATTTATACACGCACATGTAGGTCTATTCGAAAAAGTAAATTTCCATGGCTAGTGATTTAAGCGTTCGCTCGTCACGGGGTTCGATTTCCGACATGGGTACAATGGGTGAAGCCAATTTCTGGTGTCCCCCGCCGTGATATTGCTGGAATATTGCTAAAAGCGGTGTAAACTCAAACTCACTCACTCTTCAGACATACATATAATATACATTTCCAATCGCTCGGACAGAAGATGTTATATTATTGTGCTGCCTGGCAACGTCTGATATTTTTGTTCATTTATAAAGCTATATCATTAAGAAAAATCTCACGTGTACATTGGCAATGGCTATTGGTCCATCATCGAAGTGGATGACGTGCGCTTTAATTAAGCTCTTTATGTTTATTAAAATATAAATATGATCTTGTGTGCTAACAGATCATTTTACACTACGCGTGGCTGACACGTGGCTGACATGATGTCACAGTATGTGACATAGTAGGACCCGTGAAGATTCCGGGGTAGAATAGGTCTTCAGCAACCCATGCTTGCCGTAAAAGGCGACTATGCTTGTCGTAAAAGGCGACAAACGGGATCGGGTGGTCAGGCTCGCTGACTTGGTTGATGCATGTCATCGATCCCAATTGCGCGGATCGATGCTCATGATGTCAATCACTGGATTGTCTGGTCCAGACTCGATTATTTACAGACCGCCGTCATATAGCTGGAATATTGCTGAGTACGGCGTTAAACAACAAACAAACAAACAAACATAGTAGCCGTGTTGAGGTTACTAAATGTTACAATACAGTGTTTCTATACTTACGGGAAAAAGTAACCGTGCTAAATGTAAAATGGTGTAAATTCTATGTTGTTAAAATATCACCATGATATTTGGTCATTTGTCTGATCAATATTTTATCACAACATAATTATTCACAAAACCCATACCTGGTGATAGGAGACAGAGCGACATGCCCTAAAAGAGACGCGATGTAATAACAATGTCAATATCGGGTGTGACCACCATCTCCGTTCATACAGGTGAGGGGGGCACGGGTGGCCCAGTCGTCTAAGGCGCCGCGATTCGCAGTGCAGAATTACGTCCCTTGGGCATGCCAGAAACCTATGATTGTGGGTTCGAATCCCGGTTCGCCCCAATTATGTTTCTAGGTTTTTCAGCACCATACCCGTGCTCGTGGGTTTCAACGAAGTGGTAAACGTCTGAGACCTGCATCACCTCGGGTTTTCCTCCCACATTAAGCTGACACGCCGTGATATAACTGGAATACTGTTAACAGTGGCGTTAAACCCAATTCACTCACTCACTCATACAGGTGAGGCAGCCGCGGCGCATTGAAAACCCCAGTTGATTTGAAACCGACTGGGGAATGTTGTTCGAAATGTCAAGCAAAGATTGGAGCAACTGAGCTGGCACTACCGTCTGGTTCTGGTTCTGTCCTTGGCGTTGTCCCAGACATGTTCTATGGATGCGAGATCTGGGGAAACAGCCGTCCATGGCCGTACAGCAATGTTATGCTGCATCAAAAAGTCTGTTTCAAAACGTACAACGTGTAGGCGGCCATTGTCCTTCTGCAACGCGATATTACGTCCCTGCATGTGCACAGGTGGTAGAACATGATCTCGAACGATGTCATCCCGGTGGCGTACGCCATTCAAATTAACAAAAAATGAGTTGTGTTCTCCCATTGTTGTAATGACACCCTCTACCGTTACACTTCCAACCCCAAACTGACGACTTGAATAACACAAGCGTCGATAAAACGTTCTCCTGGACGCCCGTTGACGCATTGTCGAACGTACATGGGGCGGTCGGGTAGCCTAGTGGTTAAAGCGTTCGCTCGTCACGCCGAAGACCCGGGTTCGACTCCCGACATGGGTACAATGTGTGAAGACCATTTCTGGTGTCCCCTGCCGTGATATTGCTGGAATATTGCTAAAAGCGGCGTAAAACCACACTTACTCACTCAGTCACTCGAACGTACATTCGACACCTATGGCGGATCAATCAGAATGCAGAAATCTAAAGTGTCATGGCAGAATCTAGCATGACCGGAGAACACGACCGTGGTCCAGAGAAGGGACACTACAGTTGTCTCAGAGTGCAGAGTGTAGCACATGTACATCGATACAGTTTTGGAGAAGTTTTGACATTTCTGCAGCATCGTATGCAACAGCCAAAGTTGATTGTCGACCGTATATCTGTTTATTTTCGAAGTCCCGCCTAACCGGGGTGAAACAGTGACACATATGATTTGGGCGCACTCAATAATCCATTTTCTGCATAAGGTTTCGGGCAGCAAAGTAAGTGATATCGCTTGATTACACTGTAAACAGCATGGCCACCGATCCTTCCACACATAATTATGAATAATAATTTAAAACAAAATTAAAAAAGTAACTAGATTTCACAAAACATTCATAAGGGTCAAGACTGCCGCTAAATTATGTTGTGTCATGTGATACATAAGGTGAATTTTGGAAACGAAATTAATCCAGTTCCAATGTGGATTGGTGCCAATGCTGACTGGCCAATGTGACGTTGACGATTGAGTTGAGACGAAGGGCAATTCTCTATGACAATGATTCGACTTTCTGTTTTGGCCTACTGTTGCCCAAGACGCCACTAAGGAACCAACTGGTTGATATTCTAGAGGTGAGGTGTGGTGGTGCACTGGGATTTTATCGAAAACAAATAATTGTCCCAGAAAATGCATGCTTCAGACCGGTGGAAAAAAAGGAAAATGCCTGCCAAACAAAATAGTTTCAGGCTCATAATTATGATTTAAAAAGGAGCTAGTTTTTTGCAGCTGTCTCCAAACAAAATCCCATGGACGATTTCACAGAGAGACTTACTCTTGGGATTAACCAGCGTGAGCTGTATTTAAGTTCACATATTTGTTTTAATACTATCACATCCAACAGCAGTTTTCTCTTGAAGTGGAGACATCTATGGGGAGTATTTTCCGAATACCTTCTTGAGTCCAATACATGTACAAGCAAACTTGCAAAAGCACGGTCGATTCACCTGTATGCGACACAAGATCTCATGTTTGCTAAGGGTCAAAGGTTCCTCAAACGTCGCCTGTTTAAGATTCGTGTGGAAAAGTTTTGTCAAAGTGGAATGTTGTTAAATGGTTGTAGCTCAGTGTGTTTCAGAATATATATTTGGAATGACGGAGATAACCATGGCAACAGGTGAGAAAGAGTCGCGTATCTTAATCGACATAGATGTTATTGGAGACTGGAGAATGGACAAAATCCACTCAAATCAGTCAACCCTGTCTTCAGTGATACAACAGGTTCTAAATGCCACTTGGTAATAACACGTCCTAATCGACAATTTATAGATCCATTTCGTGTTTCTTTCAGATCGCGAGATGAATCCTTTCCGTCGCTTTGTATTGCATGTTAACCGAAAGAGGATTGTCAGGTAGGAATACAATTTATGTTTTCTCTTTTTGACTTGGGAGAAAATGGGTGAATTAATAGGTATTGACACCGTTTTTATTACTAATTAAGATATACTATGAGTGTTAACGTGATGTGGGACAACATCCCAGAGTTACACGTGATCTGGTGAAACCAGCGAGCATGGGTATGGATTTTGGAAATCAAGGGATTCTGTTCGAAGCACATTGTATTCTTGACATGTGTAAAATTTCATTATCAATTAATATTCTACATGTACACAAAAAACGTAACCTGATTGATTGCTAAATATTTTATATGAAATTAAGATTGGTTGGTTGTTTTGTTCTTTAACGGCGCACTCAGCAATAGTCCTTGCTAAATGACGGCGGTCTGTAAATAATCAAGTCTAGACCAGACAATCCAGTGATTGATATCACGAGAATCGATCTGCGCAATTGAGATCGATGACATGCATCAACCAAGTCAGCGAGCCTGACCACCCAATCCCGTTAGTCGCCTTTTACGACAAGCATGGGTTGCTGAATACCTATTCTACCCCGGAGTCTTCACGGAAATAAAGAGAAATTGTAACATAATGATGTTATTTTTGCAATAAATGGTGTTTTAAAAAACATGAATGATGGGTGATGGAATACTTTTCCTAAACATTAGTATTTTCTGATCGTGTTATGGTAATTTATTGAATATAGTCCCACCATCACGTGACGTGTTGTCTATAATATTGAATATGTATTTACCTTTAACCCCAGCATCTGCCGTTTGACGTTGACAGATGGCCACAGTCATATCTTTAATCACAATTCTGTAAATATAATTGCCTTAGCAGGAATTAAATCAATAATAGGGCATAATGCCAAATATTACACGTTCATATTTTTATGATTTCTTGAATGACTAGAGAGCCTGCTTTGTATATCAATATAACACGCTTTTGGTGAAAGGTATGGATTCTGTATTTCTTATCATGAAATCCATTTTCCAAAACAATGTACATAATGCAATATGAACAGATGTGAATAACAATCATAATTCATATTGATTACAAGTCATTATGACCGCTCACTGACTGGACAGTATTACAGTGACATCACGTTTTGGCCGGACATGGGGGAAAATCTAGAAGTAGTGCAGGTCTTGGACAGAGTTACCTATGGTGGCTGATGAATGCCATTCTCCCATTGCGAAGGTGAAGATACGATGCAAAGTCGCAAAATGCGATGCAAAGATGCGATACGTTCGCCCGGTGTCATTGCTATGCAATGGCGGTTCCATGCTCATGATATGGTCGGAATTGTACAGAACTGGCAGAGATTTCTTATAAATATGGAAAGGGTCGTGTCGCTTCCATTTCAAACTGCAACTTGGTATCATTGCATCGCCTCTTCAGTAGTCAGTCATTGTGATCTTTCCTGTTTCCCTTTTCTCCCCGATACTGGTTTTCGTAAATAGTTAACTGTTCCATCGTTCTCTTTTGTCTACTCTTATTCCTCACAGAGAGGTATATAGTCTTCATTTATATTTCATATTGATCAGTCAGTTCGTAACGCACACTCTGTAGACGGTTTCGTTCTTTTTATGAAGATACATGTAACATTTAATAGTGTGAAACTTGAGTAATCAAAGGTAATCTTCAAACCGAAGAGCTAGTTTACATATAAGTACTACTATGATCAAGGGCGAGAAACAGGTATACGAGGGCCGGCTGAAAAGTTCTAAGCCAAAGTGGGATATCTCAATCGGATTGAAACAAACTTTTGCCACCAACAAGTACAATCATTTAATGAATCATAGATATAAGAACTGCAACTGTAGTGTTATTGTTGTCTTTGTACCAGACCATCTTGTGAACCTACCCATTGAAATCACCAGAAATGGACAAAACTGGCTATAGGGCAGTCATCAAGTACCTGTAACTGAAAGGGCTAACTCCAACACAGATACTTGCTGACATGGTCTCCACTTTAGGGGATGATGCCCCTTCCATTTCCACTGTAAAGAAGTGGGCTGCGGAATTCAAGCGTGGCAGAGAGAGACTTGACGATGACCCGCGTCCAGGAAGGCCTTCAACAGCAACCATTCCGGAAAACATTTCCCGGGTGCATGACATGGTGATGGCTGATCGACGAATGACCACTCGACATATTGCCAGTGTTGTTGGTATCTCTCATGAGAGGTTTGAGCACATAATCACCAACGAGTTGTGAATGACAAAAGTTTCTGCAAGATTGGTGCCAAAGCTCTTGGCAGCGGATCAGAAACGTGTCAGATTCCTGACGTCCCGTGACAATTTATGCCGTTTTGAAGCAGATTCTGATGATGTTTTGGCTCGATTTGTAATCATGGATGAGACCTGGATTCATCACTTTCACCAGAAACCACAATTCAGTCTAAACAATGGAAGCATCCGGAATCACCTGCCCCCCCCCCCCCCCCCCCCCCCCCCAAAGTCGGTTCCTTCTGCTGGAAAGGTGATGGTTTCAGTCTTTTGGGATTCCAAGGGTATTCTGCTGATTGACTTTCTTGAAAAAGGCCAGACTATCAATGGTAGATATTATGCTGACCTACTGAGACAGTTGCGTGAAGCTATCAAAGCTAAGCGACGGGGAATGCTCACTAAAGGAGTCATGTTCCACCAAGACAATGCTCCTGTTCACAATGCTCCTGTTCACAAATCGGTGGTTGCCATGTCAGCGATCCATGATTGTGGCTTCGAACTCATTGACCATCCCCCTTATTCACCCGATTTGGCCCCGTCAGACTTCCACCTGTTTCCCAAAATGAAAAAGGAACTAGCCGGTCGCCATTTTCCTTGTAATGATGTCGTCATTTCCGCTGTGAATGACTTTTTTTAGGGTGGCTGAAGAAAATTTCTTCTTGACCGGCATCCAGGCCTTGCAGCATCGCTGGCAAAAATGTGTAAACCTGGAAGGGGACTATGTGGAGAAATAAATGAAAACCATCGACTTGGTACGGGTCTTTCACAGTTAGGCTTAGAACTTTTCAGCCAGCCCTCGTACCTAATCTACTGAATATGTTTGTTTCTTTTAAAATATTGAATACATCAGCTTGCAATTCAATGGAATGTATACAATGTAATCCGACAAAGTTTTGAGTAGTACAGTATTCCCCGGATTTAAACAACTGGACTAGAACTGAAAGAGACCAGCGATACAACCCCATCTGTTTCATATTTAGATATATTCATGAAGCTTCAGACTGACACAAACAATCAATACGATGGTATGACAAAAGGGATTATTTCAACTTTCCAATAGTCAACTCTCCATTTATGCCAAGCAATATTCCAGAAGCTGGAAGGTACGACCGAGCATGCTCTTCCCGCAAAGATCACAAACAGCGTCGTTCGACTCTTGCTAAAATGTTGTTTTAACATCATTCAAGGCCTCAGTAAAGCTTTTAAAAACTGGACAAGAGAAGGCTCCGGGGTAGAATAGGTCTTCAGCAACCCATACAGGTGACTGCTTGTCGTAAAAGGCGACTAACGGGATCGGGTTGTCAGTCTCGCTGACTTGGTTGATACATGTCATCGATCCCAATTCCGTGGATCGATGCTCATGATGTCAATCACTGGATTGTCTGGTCCAGATTCGATTATTTTACAGACCGCCGTCATATAGCTGGAATATTGCTGAGTGTGGCGTTAAACAACTAACAAACAAACAAAACAAAACTTTTATGGTAGACATGACAAGGCATTGATGCAACAGAGACAAACATTATTTCCGATGCAATTGCCTTTTTTATTTGTACCATGTGTTCCCTTGGTTATTTTTAAGTAAACCATTGACGTGCCTTTGCATGTCTTTGTGACGGGAGCCACCGATGGTGCAGGATACGCTCACCTTTTCGCGAAAACCTGTTATCATCACCAGAGATTAATAAAGAAAGGGTTTTGTCGCTTTTATTTACAGTTTCATAACCTTTTTATACTGATGGGTATTTAGTGTATCCATCATTCAGACGTGAGAAAGGCACTCGTACCTACCCTAATTTAGATAGACCTTTGCTATTGGTCTTCAACTAATGTCACCTACTAGCAGCTATTGAAGGCTGAAAATTATTAGGCCTTGATATTTGTTTCCAAACTTGACTTTCACGTTATTGGCTATGTACAATATAAGCCTTATATCCATAGTGGTTTCCGAGAAAAACCTGTCCCCATTTAGGGATCTGTGCACCATGTCCAAAAGATCAACCAAGATACATATCCCTGTTTCTGATCTAGATAAACATTTTTATCCCCTATAATGTACTCCATCATAATAAGGCAACTTGGTTTTCGGTGCCGGGTTTCGAACATGAATTTGACTTAATTTTCAGCCATTGTATAACAGGAGTACGACTGCACGGTGTCTTTTTCTGATGCAAATTGTGAGCGTGGCGGGTGCTACCGTTAGGGGAGGACATGTTTACCATTTTCGTGAACACCTTGTGACATCACTGATAGTCAGTAATCCATTCATATAACTTTCACCGCTATTTTGCCTTTTACGCCCAATGAAATCTGTTTGGTGGGATAATCGAAACTGGTTATTCTCTGTCATTGATGGTTTATATTTACTGTAAGATAATACGACATTATCATTGTTTCAGGCTGTTCCTCCATGTTTCGTTCGTTGCTGTCGTCGTGGTCCTTGTTACAACTTACAGTAAATTCGGAGCAATCAATAGGAACATAAACCTCTCAAAGATTCATGCCAACACATGTCGCTGTGACGAAGGAATCTTCAATGTCATACCCAGGGAATCCTCCAGCGAAGCCAAACCGAAAAAACTGGTATCTGATTATCTTCAGGCTCATGGTCGATATTCGTCAGAAGTTCGCCATATTGCTTTCTTGAAGGTCCACAAATGTGCCAGTTCCACCATGCTTAATATCTTTTATAGGTTCGGTTATAAAAGGGGACTTAACTTTGTACTACCCACTAAAGGTAACTACATATCTATGATTCAACAAAAAGGAGTTATATCACTTGTCCCTCCACCCGCCATGTCCGGGTATGATATTCTTTGCAACCATGTTCGTAGATTCAACAAAGAACAATTCTCTCGTTTCCTTCCACAAGACACTAAGTATATAGCCATAGTTCGAGAACCTTTCCAAAGAATGTACTCGGCGTTTAACTATTATCGGAACCTAGCACGCTTTTCATTCTTGACGGTAATTGGGGGTTTGGACCCTTTCAAAACCTACCTCAATAATATCGCATCCTTGGAAACCAAGTGGGGAGATTACTCTGTTACTAACAACAGGATTGCAAGGGATTTCGGTTTTCCTATTGCGGACTACAGAAACATTTCAAAGTTCAAAACATATCTGGAAACACTTGATAAGCAGTTCCACTTTGTAATGGTCTCCGAGATGTTTTACGAATCACTGGTGCTCTTGCGGAGATTGCTAAAATGGTCAGTGGAAGATGTGATATTTCAATCAATAAATGTGCATGAACACAAAACTGTCACAATGAATGTTAGCGCGGAGAATATCAAACCTTTTCTAGCTCTTGATCGTATTCTGTATGACCATTATGTCAAAAGACTTAAAGAACAGATTACTTCAGAAGGGCCAGATTTTCACAAGGAGCTTCAATACTTCAAAGATATAAACTCCAAAGTCACAGAGTTTTGTATTGCAAAGAATACTACGAACAAACCACTGTTATTCCGGGCAAATGATTGGCATGGTGATTTTAACTTCAAGCTACATGACTGTGACTGGATCGGTAAAGCTGAGATTAGGTTTCTGAATTTAGTACGGGACGAACAAACATATCGTGTTAAGAAATATGGAGCTAATATAAGTTACTTCCAATAAAGTCTATCTATTTGTATGGTACAATGATAATTTTACCATGACAGTGGAGAATGACTGCTTTTGATTGGTCAAAATAAGATGAAAATCGGATATCTCATTCCATTCGATACCTCAAAGTTAACATGCCTTTTCAAACAGAAAACTTCCATATGAATCTATCGATAACCTACGTATCGATTCATAGAACAATAGCCAACGCAAACACATTAGAATTGTAAACGTTCTGTATCATCTATTTAACATGATGAAATCTATTTCAGAACACACAATTATGTAAAACACAAACTAGCCATTATTCAAGCTCCAGACAATCATCGGTAATGAAAATGAGCAGTGCCTCAGACTAAATACGGCGGTAATCAAGGATACTCCAATGTGGTTCCTTTGGCACACGGTGTTGATGATCACGTTCGTGATGAACATAAATAAAGATCGGCATTGTCCTTTGGGTTCGTGCAATTTGTAAATAACACTGCCGTCGTGAACAATTTTGGCAGCCATGGAGCGAAGAGTAACTGAAGAAGGTAATGTTGAACCATGTCGAGATTTGGGGTGGAGAATCATTCTGAATATGTATTGCCGTTACTGTGGATTTATTTCAAGCCAACTGCCACATAAGTACAACTTCAACATCATAAAGCCCAATGATTTAATAAGCTGATTGAGAAATACATTAGCTCAGCGGTGTTTTCTGAGACTATTTCTGTAACCTGTCATCCTACACAGGGAGCTTTCATGTTGAATCCAAGCAGCGCAAATATGCAACATGAATATATCTTTGAAGGCTGTATAAAAGTTTACTTTTCACTGTAAAGCAGTATCTATACAGTTGATTCCCCGACAGATTTTGTCAAAATAAAAGCGATAAAACTCGATTATTTCCGTGATATATTTCGACTACCATGATATAAATGCGACAAAAACATTTCAATCATCATACGAAATAAGAATTCATTGTACGATTCAGATTATATCACAGGCATGTGGGACCCGGGAAAATCCGGGGTAGAACAGATCTTCAGCAACCCATGCTTGCCGTAAAAGGCGACTATGCTTGTCGCCAGGCTCGCTGACTTGGTTGATGCATGTCATCGTGTCCCAATTGCGTGGATCGATGCTCATGATGTCTATCACTGGACTGTCTGGTCCAGACTCGGTTATTTACAGACCGCCGTCATATAGGTGGAATATTGTTGAGTGCGGCGTTAAACAACTTACAAACAAAACATAAGCATCTGGTCCCAATCAACCAGTGATAATGCCAGTTGTTCGCAAAACGGTGAGTGTATCCTGCCATTACAATCACGGACACATGCAAAGGCAAGTCACTTGTTCACGGGAACATATGATACAAGTCAACAATCGCATTGCACATATGGAAGATTATGTTCAAAACAATCAATCCATCAAATCAATATTATTCTACTTATCGAAAAAAATGAACTCTTTCGCCATACGTCTCTGTGTAATAGGGTTTACGGGTGGCCAATGAGTTAGAGATGCGTCGTGATATAAGTGGAATAATGTTAAACGCGGCGTTAAACTCAACTCACTCACTTACCTATATCATTTGGTTGTCATGCGTGCAATTCGCTTGTAGGGTTGCATCCCATGGGCAAGCCAGAATCCTATGATAACGAGTTTGAATCCCAGGTTCGCCCTGATTATTTATCTTGGATTGCCAGCACCCGTGCAAATGACATTCACCATGGTTGCAAACGTCTAACACCAATAGTCTTGCATCTCTTCACGCTTTCATCACTACAAATCGACGCGCCATAATACAACTGAAATAATGTTCAATGCGGCGTAAAACACAACATATTCATTAACATGACAATGGTCATATATGTGACTGACTGCGGATCAGTAATGTCCAATACCCAAGAACACCACACACTTCACTGACAACCAAATGATATAGGTAAGTGAGTGAGTTGAGTTTAACGCCGCTTTTAACATTATTCCAGTTATATCGCGGTGTGTCAGCTTAATGTGGGAGCAAAGCCCGAAGTGATGCAGGTCTGAGACGGTTACCACTTCGGTGAAACCCACGAGCACGGGTATGGTGCTGACAGAGCTAGAAACATAATCGGGGCGAACCGGGATTCGAACCCACAATCATAGGTTTCTGTCGTGTCCAAGGGACGCAATTCTGAACAGAGAATCGCGGCGCCATAGACGACTTGGCCACCCGTGGCCGCCATTCAAGACTTTTGCTCAACTGTGCGAGTCGCCATTGCGTGGTGCAGGTGAAATATGTCCGCACGTTCTCCTTGCTGTTTGACTTTGGTTACGAATTTGTTCCATGTTGCGGTGGCAGTAGTCTCCATCAGGAAGCTTGCGGTGTGCGGACTTTGTGGATTCGAATTACACTAGCGTCAATTTTCATCAAATTATATAATAGACATTTGTCAAGTTGTCGGTAACTATAACTGTTCCCTATCGTCAGAGCTGAATTAGCCACATGCAATGACGTAACATATATAGTTTGAAGGCAACTAAGGTTTTGTTTTGTTTGTTGTTTAACGCCGCACTCAGCAATATTCCAGCTATATGACGGCGGTCTGTAAATAATCGAGTCTGGACCAGACAATCCAGTGATTGACATCATGAGCATCGATCCACGCAAACGGGATCGATGACATGCATTAACCAAGTCAGCGAGCCTGACCACCCGATCCCGTTAGTTGCCTTTTACGACAAGCATAGTCACCTTTTACGGCAAGCATGGGTTGCTGAAGACCTATTAAGGAACATTGTTGGAATGAACTAAAAGAAAGGTTGTTTGAAGTAAAGTAGTCAAAGATAGAATCTCTTGGGTAAGATGTGTACACTAATAAACCATTCTAACGCTTATGTTAATCGTCCAATTAATTGTCAGGAAAGCTAACAGGTAACCAAACAAAATCCAGGGGAACATATATCTCCAACTAGAAATATGAAAAAATACCCTATGAAAGTCAGTATTGGTTAATACAGGGGAAAATATATCTCCAACTAGAAATATGAACAAATACCCTATGAAAGTCAGTATTGGTTAATATATAAAGGTATGATCACGGCTACTTATGCATTTGTGTATATATAAATATATATTTACTTACATATACATGCAATATTTTAAGTTAGAATACGCTGTGTCGGAAGTAAACGTAGTGTGATAATTAGTGTGACATACACATCGAAATGTAAACAGCAAATGTCAGTCTCAACGTTGTACCGATATGTTTCAATGACAATAAAATACCTTCGCGAACTTCGCCTCACATGAAAGGTTGTTAAAACAAATACACCTGCCCTGTGAATGCCCCCAGACCTGCCCCGAGCGTGTACGGATATCCCTGTGCCACGACCGGTACGGCGTAGTTTAATTATAAGGCTTGAAGTGGTTCAGTGTCACCTCGTCATCTCCTCCATTTAACTTGAAATAGCAAATACTTATGTGTAGGCACCTTTCTAGTGTGTGTAAGAAAACGAACACGAAGAAATCTTTAACCTTTAAGCAGTTTGCCTGAGCGATAAAGTTTTAATGGTGATTACTTGGGCCATGGCCAATTAACTTATTCTAGAGAACAGAAATAATTGTCCCTTTTCACATACACTCTTCAAAAAGAGAAACGCTTAGATAGATTTTTTGTAAATTTTTTGTACCTACTAAAGTCGATATATTTAATTTAATAGCATAGATACAAATATGAAATTTTGGAGCTCGATTGTCACATGCTGTCGTTGTGCAAAGGCATTCTGTCCTGTCCTGCTTGTAACGCGTTGGACAGTGGGGGTGTCTGCGGCACGTTAGGACGTTGACGTACACGTCGATTGAGTTCATCCCAGAGGTGGTCGACTGGGTTGGCCAGGGCAAGGCGTTGTTGTTGGCACCGAAATTGTTGAATTCACGTACACAATGTGGGGCAAAACGCTCATTTTGACGACGATAAACACGTTGTCTTCCATCTCGCCGGTGAAAAAGAAATCGTGATTCATCGTTAAACCACACTCGTCTCCGGTTTCTCAAATTCCAAGGCTGTAAGGTATGGCACCACGCAAGCGTCGCCGTGGGTGGATCTGTTGCAAAACAGGGACGATAACTTGGTTCTGGGTCGGTTTACAGCCTCGCGAAGATGGTTCTGGACTGTCTGGTCCGATATCCTCCTCAAACCAGGGATGCGTCCTGCAGTCTCCGTAGCTGTGGCATTGCGAGGACGTAGATGGAACAGTCGAATGTAGCGATCCTGTGCGGGGGTGGTAACTCTTGGTCGGCCACTTCTCGAACGGTCTGCAGTGGAATTGAACTGTGTGTATCGGTCACAAAGGCGACAAATAGTGCTGTGGTGGACGTTGAAGTGGCGTGCAACAAAAGACTGCGATTCCCCTCTTTGGATACGTCCTATGGCGATGTTCCGATCGGCATCGCTGAGTCTCGGCATTTTCGAACTTGAAAAATGTTGACATTTGAATGACAAATTATTGGCTTATGCTTGCCTTTCTATAGCCACTACCACGAGTTACGAATGCCATAACTTGCACGTGCATTTTGCTTTACTGTTTTCCTCCAAGCCATTTTTGAACAAGTGTGAAAACAATGCCGTTTAAGACATTGCAAATCGACAATGGCTGCGTTTTGACGCACCGTTTGTCGAATATCAGGCCACCAACATTTTCCAATAACATATATCCTATTTATATACTGGATTTGTTGTGTTGCCAGGTTCAATGAACAACATAGTGCCTGTGCGTTTCTTTTTTTGAAGAGTGTATATTGTAATCATGCTCCTTTTTGTGGTCATTTTGGGGGCACGGGTATCCCTGTCGTCTAATGGACCGATCCAGTCCCGACCGATAAGCCCCGCCCACAAGCTGCGGTCCTCGTTTTAGGCGTTATGGGGGTATCACTGGCTATTCGCTATGGCGTCACAGCCGGCGAAAGTTGAATGCGCGGGCGATGAATTTGGCTCAGAATGCTTTGTTACCAGTCGTGTGTCAAAAATATCTAAAGAGAGTTATACGTGATCTGTTTTGGGTTCTATTTTAGTTGTCAAATTGCATATGGGGAGTGAGAATGAGTCATGAGTCCGAAGTAATGGTGTATCGGTCAATGAGGAAGTCACCATGGCTGAAAGTTAGAAGCGTGCGCTACCTCGAAGCACTCATGTCAGGCAGAGCATACTATAGTGTCAATTTACAGCATGTCAATAATATATTATTTATCCAAGGGTGGATTAACTAAATTTTATTTTTACTTTCCATCGTAATTTAAGTGTATGGAAAGTACCTGGAAACCGTAAACACAAGCACAAGTTGCAAATCATGTGGATATCTATAAATAGATTGTCAACAGTTACATTGCCCACGTTTTTTGTCTGGTGCTCTAAGTAAAACCAATATAACATGAAAGGCACAGAGTTAGTGGGTCCTTCAAATGAATAAACATAAAAGAATAGTTGATAAAATTAAAGCTGTACATTATTTCCCCCCACTGCTACATTGGTTTTATTATGTAATAAATGAATCATAACATATATTTTATTTGGGCATCTGGAACATGGGGTCGGGCATGTCACAAGGGATAAATCTGGACCTGCTCAGAGGCTGATATTCAGCCCCAAATCTGCAGCAGATGTCAGTAAACTGTTTTAATATATCTATGCCGTGGGTTTCACCTAAGTGGTGAACGTCATGATCAGAGACCAGCATCTCTTCGGGCTTTCCCCCACATTACGGGTGGCCCAGTCGTCTAAAGCGCCGCGATTCGCTGTGCAGAGTTGCGTCCCTTGGACACGCCAGAAACCTATGATGATGGGTTCGAATCCCGGTTCGCCCCGATTATGTTTCTAGGTTTGTTAGCACCATACCCG